GTTTTGTTTGTGGCCCTGTTACGACACGACCCTTGAGCACTGTAGTGACTACTAGTAGGCCTATAGTAATTACTTTAGATGGAATCAACAAATGACAATGTTCTTTGTTCAACCCCAAACTGATAATGATAACCAGTGTTTCTTACTTCTACATAGTCAAAAATCATCTTTCCCTCCACTCTTCCTGTAAGCTATAGCGCCTGCATTGCTCATAATCACTGGGGCCAAGAACTCGAAGTACTCGAGTAGGAATCCATCAGCGTTTGATTTCCACAGCAATTCGCGCGAGTCAGGCGGCCGGCGAGTTGTTGAGACCGCAGCAACCGTTGCTCATCAGTTGCCTATTCAGCGTGACGCGGTGGGAATTCAGCGAATGAGCGCTGGACAGCCATGAACGCTGGCTCAGTAATGAGATTACGGCTACGCACTATATTTTGCTAATATACTTTATTAATCGTGCCCCATCGTCAATAAACTTTCAATATTCACAGCATTCAAGCCGGTACGGAGATCATTGGCCAAAATTATCTTCTAGTCTATACGGACACATGTGTTAGCGTATACTCTCTGTGAATATTGAGTTTCATATTGGCGCACGATTGTCAACTATATTAGCAAATATACTATGCGTATGTAAATCTCGCGTACCGCGGTTGAATATTAGACACCCCCACGAGGTAGCGGCCTGCCAGGACGCGAGCTGATATTTGAATGTGGCTTTATATATGCACTGTTACCCATGCAAATATGTATGCTTGATAATATCATATACATTGACTTGAACGTTCTTCTGGCTAGAGGTGTCTATATAGACGTTACTCAATTCCTTTTCACAGCACAAGTGAAAACTCTACAATAAATGTGAGGGTTTCAACCATCATAATATTAGTAACCATATAGGTTATTCTATGATTATTTCTATGTGGTGTCACGCATTTTTTTAGATTAATATCAACATTTGCCGCCTATATATAAGAAAACCTAGAATGTACATTACACGAAATTAGATTATTATTCTTGAAACTAGAACAACCCTAGATAATAATCTTACATCTTGTCGGATTTTGCAAATTTTCGAAAAGTTGCGGAAATCTTAAAACTAGATAAATTTTTCCAAACAGATAATTTTCTTGATTTCGCATCTATTTCATGCTAGAAAGCTTTTTGAGCTGTGTAAGTACGAGCGGTGCTTTTAGCGTTGTCGCAGGGATTGACTAATGTTGAAGCGCAGTCACGGAAGGCCACGAAGCCGTCGCTAAAGGGTGAGGTGTCGTGAAGGGCGTTTCCCCTCTCCCTTGACGTGGCGTGTCCGGCAGGGCATCCGAACATTTTGAAAGCTACATTGAAAATGGTCACGCTGGCGAGATTTTAAATGAATTGAATGAAAAAACATTTGAATACACAGTAGGCTACAAGTTACATTGCAAACTGTTTACTTTCATATTAAAGAAACAATCGGAAATAATGTTTAAAGCCCCTAACATTCGGTCTCCCGCCCTCACGACGTTGCAGCGAGGAGTAAACCATTGCCCATATAAGGAGCTCGTTACTATTTGCACTATCTGCTGCGTGGAATCTCCGTCCAGTCCTCTAGCCAATCGCATTGCGTTAGGGACGCTGACAAAAACGTTTCGGCATGTAAGAAATTCCCTTCCTAAAAACTGGCCGATTTTGGCTTGTCCACGCCGTAGAACTCGTGTATAAACTTCATCCAGCTTGACTTGTGCATTCTTACTTAATTTGCGAATGTTTTATGTATTGTATGTTAATGAACAGGTCCGTCAGTTTTTCTCCAATTAGCGCAAATTCACAGAAGAATCGATGAATACCGGGACGGGTTCTAAACTATACTCGCGTTAAAAACGGTAAAAAGCTTAAAAGGACAACTAAAGGCAGGTTAAAGATTTGCCTGAAAATAGGGGCGACAATATCTTTGCCTTGCTTTAATATTTTGCCGTTTGACGTTGCTGCGGCATGCACAGACGTTGCAATGCATGACAAGTTTTTTGTAAGGCCCAATAATGTAAGCTAGAAATAAGAAATGTAAATGAAGGTTAAATGTCAATGTCAAGGTCAACATCTCTTCTCTTATCTCTTCTGGGTACCTGGTGGTCATTATCAAAACCAATGTGAACAATCGGCTACCAATGTATCACAGTCACTAATGGCCGCCCCGCTTAGCGCGGGTGCCAGCTGGTATTTCATAATTCAGAGCTATAATACCGTAGAGTGTACAACGGAACACGGCGAAATCGTGCTATTTTCCGACAACTTATTCTACTTTGCCTGCGAGTCTCACGGCCTGCAGTATTGGTTTCTAAACTTCCCCTCCCACATGCCTCACGCCGCCTCGCATTTCAGTTATTCACCACCCTCGACGCCCTAAGCATTGCTTCGTCAAAGTTCGGTTTTTCTCGCAGGATAACTTTATGAAATGAACGGCGTTTCGGTTATCATAGGTGATTTTCGGGCATCGCCTATGCCCTTTCTTCTATTATCTTTTCTTAGCCCGTTCTAATTGCCCGGTCATGTGGAGCCTGGGCCAATGTTTTCTCATTTAGTGTCTACAACGCCAGCTCTAGATACTACTTATGGTGTGTATTGAGTACCAATTTTGGGCATGTCACATCAATTATCCAGCCGCCTCCAAACGGTGACGGAAACGATAGCGCCAAATTGCTTAGGGCGTGTAGCCGTTGCGTGACTAAACGGCGCGTACGAGGCGGCGTGAGCCATGTGGTGAGGGGAGGTTTAGGCAGCCATATCTCACTAGAAGCCTAATCGTATGACAAGCGCGTTGGTCTTGTTTTATCGGGAGCAAGAATATCTGCTTAATGCAATACCATAAACATTATTCTTAGACTCGCAAGGCAACGGAGAATGTTGTCGTGAAAATAGCGACTATTTTCCGTTTTTCCGTTTATACACTTCCCCTGGTATTGGTAGCTCTGATAATATGTGTTACAGATTATCTGCTGCCCTGAGCCACCTAGCAATGATATCGCGGGAGCTGTAGCGGCATCTTGCAGATCGCCTACTTGCCGGTTGCCATATTTATCGGTTTATTCCCATTTCGCCAATTTTCCCACTCGCCATTAGCCATATCGCCATTAAAAATTCCCACTTCGGCCATTTGCATTTTGCCATATCCCGTTTCGCCATTTCCACTTCGCCATTTTCCATTTCGCCAGTTTCCGTGGTTCGCCAGTTTCCATTCCGACCATTTCGTCCTAGCTTCCGACACCCCTTGGTTTGAGGTGAGGTTAAAAGTAGGCCCTCTTGGTAATGAATAAGTTTAGACGAATCTTTAGTATAGAGTCAACTATTTATTTGAAGAACAAGAAGCGAAATCGTACATATCAAACATATAGGTCATGTACAGGCACCCTAACCCTAACCCTAAGCCTAACGCCTAAAAATGACTCTTTTTTTTAAGAATGAAAGGAATCAATTTCGTGAAGGGGGATGGAGCAACATAAATATTGGCGAAATGAGAAAACTGCGCGAGCTGTGAAATGGCGAAATGGGAAAATGGCGACGTGTGAAAATGGCGAAATATCAAATGGCGAAGTGGAAAACTTGCCGGAAATGCGCGAAGAACACCATAGCCTCGTTCCACACGAGACCTCGTATTTATGAAAATACGGTATTTGCGAATACCGAATCTGAGGCCAAATACGCGCGAGCGTTCACCACGCTGATCGCGCTCAGAAATGCGTATTTGCCGACGCCTGCGAAAGCTGCTTATAAACAATCAAGCGAACAATGCCGAAATAACAATGCAATTGCCGCCACCAACTGGCCGATAAACTACGTTAGACGTCGTCCGCGCCCCTCGCACAGTTCTCCACTCGCGTTACACTGGAACTGTGCGCAACCGTCTATAAAATCACGCAGGCTTCAGAAATCCGGTATTTAGCGTTTCACACGAGGTAATGCGCGCGTCCAAGCAGATTCGGGTATTTCTCAAGCACGCGCAAATTATTCGGCGGGTCGGAAACGCCGGTTATTACGCCTGAGAGGGTCTATGTCTCCCGGGGTACTGCGAACGTACCCTGGTACGCCGTCCGGATATGACCGGACTACCTGGTACTATCTATACTGCGGACCGTACCCTCGCCTACTCACTCGAGTCTAGCACGGAGTCGCTCGCATACTCCTAACCCGAACCCTAACCCGAACGAGCCCTTAACCCTAACCCCTAACTCTTCTTTACCCAACCATATTCAAATAGTGACCAGGGTACGTTCCGGATGTATTTACCGGACACGTACCCAGGTACGTTCCGGCAGTACCCTGGCGGCGACATGCCTCTGAGCCGTATTTACCATTGGCAAATACCGGATATTGTTTTAGATTACCGTATTTCTTGCCGACGCGCCATTTTGCCTTCGTGTGCGCCTAAATCACGCGGATTTCTTCGCTACGTGTGAACGCGGCTCATATTGTCGCTGTGTTATCGCGCTTCCTCACATTTCGGCTTGCGCTTTGTAAATTTCACTGCGTGTCAATTTCACACGGGTCGTCTACAATCGCCGCGGCAACATTTTAATCGCTTCGTTTTAATTCCGTTTCAGACCAGAAGATGTCGCTGAAGTCGAAAGGGACCTCAGCGGTCGAGCCAGCAGCTGTTGGGCGCGACGCAGGCCCTAAATGTCCGCTGTCGTCATCTTCTTCGGAGTCTGCACTTACCTGGCCGGTACACATTGCTGCGCGTGTTCAAGTGAAGTAAACACAGAGCGAAGACATCTGGGACCGTTGTCACCGACACTTTACTGTATGAGCAAGGTTAATGCGATCATAGTGCAAATATTAACTTTACCTCATTAGAATGTTGTTGAGGTAACGATCGTAGCTACGCAGCTAACAACGATAAGTGAACTCGGCTATAAAGGCTAATACTTTCCATCGATTATTGCAAAGTTGCGAATGCTACGTAACTGGCACCTTGGCTAGTTAATAAGCTACATTACCTTAGTGTAGCCAAAACGCCGTATTAGTTTGTCCAATTATCACTGGACTTATTACTAAGAAATGTCTAATGAAATCGTAAATTCGGTAATCTGGCCCAACGCTAAATTATATTGCCCAACAAAATAACACTCGCTTTCGGTCTCGGCTGACCTCACATGTTGCTCAGGATTTGTTGAGCATCGAATTGTTTGTCCCGGGTAAATTGTTTGCCTAGTGACGGCATTGACGGCTATCCTTTTCACATATTATATGTTGCTTGTAATCTCAAATCTTCGCTATATTCTTTATTCCCGATCCCAAGGGAGTAAAACCTACACGTACGAATGCGCACGAGACCCAGGATCGAAATCACTGCGGCCGAGCATACGTGCGAACATGTCCGGTGCACTATAATCTGTATGACACCGCCTCGCCGGTTACGGCCGGTCATAGCAGGCATGGCGGGTTGTAACTGTCAACAACGGATTTATTTGACCGCGGATTTCAATTGGCTATTTCTTAGTAACCAGCAGTGATATTGGACAAACTAATACGCGTTTGGCTATAAGGTAATGTACTTATTAACTACACAAGGTGCCAGTTACTGTAGCATTCGTTAAAATTGCATAATCAATGGTCGTCTTATGCCTTTAAGTAATTTGATGTTAAAATAATGTCATAGTAATACTTACTGATAAAAACTGACGTGATGACGTTTTACTCTGCACTGCGTGACACGAGCGCCATCAGTGTTCAAAACAGCGAAACAAGAGAGCAGTCGCCGCATATTCTCATTGGGAGCCAACATTACCAATGCCCTTTTCATAAAAAATATAGGTGTCACTGAAAATACGAAAGGTAGTATCAATATAATCGCGTAATTTTTTTGTACAGTTTCTTTTTTCGTCGTTGTTTTGTAGATACTAGGAGATATTGGATATCGTAGACTGTTTCGTCTAGAGATCGTTTCTGTAAACGGGTTACGAGTAAAAGTAAATGTTATGACTTATGTTAAGACTAAAATAGTTCTGAAACTGCCCTCACTCCTTTCCTTGGAGGACGAGTCGTGGTGTTAGTGGCATGTTTAGTGTAACGCGCTTACACACGTATCGAGGTGTGGTGGCGGCGGCGGTGGGAGTTGGGGCGGTGCTACATACATCTCTCATCTTTCTTTTTGTGTTTTCATATTTTTATCTTTTATTTCTTTTCCCTTTTTGTGTGTGTGTCGTATGTCACTCTCTACACGCACGCCGATCGCACCTTACGTCACGCGCACGGGTGGGATTTGCGCGCGAGTGTAAAGTGAGATTATGGACTTGAAACGAGAACTTGCCAGAACGGGCGCAAGAGAAAACGGAGAAACGCCGGTGATCGCAATCAGATGACGTCAGACCTCGCTCGCTCAGGGCGAATAACGTCGGAGTGGTTTTGAGTGCCAAATTACGTTATAGTGCATTACAATGCGTCACACTACGTCACATACCACCGCACTATACGTCACACTTCGCGCGGCTACGTCACCACACGTGCCATCGGGTCACGCAATAACGTGTTTCGCTCTCATTAGTCATTCAACGAATTTCGGAAACGAAATTATTTATTTCTACGCAACATTTCGCTCAACCAGCGTGCACGCACGAATTCACGTGCGAACTACGTGTTGCAGCAGTGTCTGCCTCTCTGGAATAAAAAATAGAAGACGATAGAGCATTTTTGGTAAGACGAGAGTGAACGAAATTTTTTGTATGAACGCAATCCCCTGCGTAAATCCCAGAGCATTTCATCAAACGAGCAACATATCGAGAAGTGTTTGAGCTTTTTTTTAAATATTAACGAGTGCGACAGACATTTCTTGCACGGCGTCGCCACCGCGCATGCGCACAACGACCTCACCAGCTCGAAAGCCGATCGTCTCGATAATCATAATACATTAATGTATTATTGTATTATTGTAAGGGTTGGTGCGTATGAATGAGGGCAACCACGATGCACGGCGTAACCTTACCTATACGAGAACACATGCACGCGCACACACGCACGACGTACGCACGCATGCACGCACACGCACGCACAACACTCACACACACACACACACACACACCACACACACACACACACGCATATATCATATATATTGATATACAAATATATACACGAACGCGCGCCGCGCGCATTTTACATATTCATCCAATCTCACATTTTCTCGACTTCTCGCGCGATTTCGTTAGCTTCGTTGAATTTTACTTTCTGAAGGAAGCTCAGGTATAGGACAGATAATGGATAAGTGGACATCACTGACTGACAGCAGCTAACCTACACGTCGCCTAATGGTAGGACGGATATGCAACCTTGTTCTCTAGTCTGTGTATGTCATCGATCACGATTTAGCGCGGCTGTTCGACCACGACAGGTTCGTATTGCGATGATGTGACTGTTATGGACGCATGATGCCATGATGAAGAGGCAGATGCTGCATGACGATTGATGATGATAATGAGATGCATGACGTTGGCAATAATGATCATCATCATCATGCGAAATAGGTGCGCTGATAACGTAATAGCTAACTTACGTACTCAGTCAACCTGCGCATCTTGTATATTTGCGATGAAACGCGCGGATGATAATAACAATCTAGACGATAGCCAGCATCTATATATATATATTATAATTGGGTGGATTGTATTTCCGCGCTGCGCGCCACGCTTGGGCTTCAAGTTGCGGGTGAAACTATCACCGGTACACGCTCGAGCGCTATCATCGCATGTGCTGTAGCGTACATGTCAATTATGTGCTATGTATAGGTATAGTACTTGCCGGACATACAACACGCGCGCGCACCACCCGCACGACACACACACACACACGCGCGCACGCACACACACGCACGCACGCACGCACGCCCACGCACGTACACACACGTACGCCACCCCCCCCCACACACACCTTATACTCGCCACCTATGCCAGATAATTGATAATATATATAGAATCTATATGAAGGCATACAAGCGTGAGAGCGAATGCCACTTTTAACGACACCCCATCACACTGTCGCGTCTATTTCTTACAACGCAGCCCGATTTTGCTAAGTGGCGATGTGTCGTCGCTACCTTTGAACGCGAAGCACACGCGGCGCGCCGCCGCAAGTAGAGATGTAGAGGCGATTACAGTTCTCTCGCGCTCTTCTTTTTTCTTCCATTTCTTATCTCTCTCTCCCTCTCTTCTGGCTCTCCCCCCTCTCTTCTCTCTCTCTCTCTCTCTCTCGCTTCTTTCCCTGTCTCGCTCTCCCTCCCTCTCTCGCTTTCGCTAGTTCTCTCTCTCTCACCTGTCTCGCTCTCTTCCCTCTCTCTTCTCTCTCTCTCCTCTGCTCTCTCCGTCTCTCTCTATCTTCCTGTCTGCCTTCTTCTCTCGCTCTCTCTCTCTCTTCTCTCTCTCTCTCTCTCTCTCTTTCTCTCGCTCTTTCTCTCTCTCTCTCTTCCTGTCTCTCGCTCTCTTTCTCTCTCTGTCTCCCTTTTTTTCTATTCATTTCTCTCTCCTTTTTCTCCCCACCTCCTCTCTTCTCTCTTCTCTCTCTTATTCTCTCCTTCTCTCTCTTCTGTCTCTCTTCCTCTCTGCAATGCTATATAATCTTGAGTATGTCGTTCTGTTTGTTCCTGCATAAAACTTTATCAGAGCGCGTAGCCACGAATCGGAATTTTTCGTGCTTCATTCCTTACGCCACAGCGATTCCGTTTCTAACACTTTGCTTTTTTGTTATTTTATTGGTTTAATGCTTAAAATAAAAACCATATTTAGAAATCTATTGGCAAAATCTCCCTGTAAAAACATGCACGATTCAGTTCACTTCCGCTAGCATGCGCTGCGTAACTTACAACACCAGTAGATATATTACAAACGGACTATATATATCTATGCAAATACCCAACGACAGACTGATTCACAGCTATAATGAAACGTAGTCGTAGAGCTAATGTACATGGTTCGCCCTGGGCACACGCAATGGCTGCAGTATCGAAGTTCCTCCCAACCTCACCACATTGCTTCGTGGCCTAAGCCCATACCATGGTATTATTATATATCATATTTACCCATACATATATATACCCATACTATCTATCTATTTATGTATGTATATATATATATTAATTATAATATATGTGTGTGCAGTGTGTGCTGTGCGTGCGTGCGTACGTATGCGTGTGTGTGTGTATTCTGTGTGTTGAGTGTGTGTGTGTGGTGTATTGTGGTGAGCGGTGTGTGTGTGCTTATAAATATGCATTCGTAGTGGGGAGCAAACTGATTCTTCAGCAGTGGGACACATGCGGCTTTGGCATCGGGCGTGGTGACGTGATTTGTGCCTTGCCTAGCAGTACTATATTATATGCGGGAAAGCATCAAGGTATGGTTTATATGACTATATTAAGGGACTTTAGTAGCGTTAACATTGTTACAAATTGAATACATACTGCTAGCTAAACTCTCATTTAATGACTACTATTCATTACTACAGTGCGCACCCCGTTAATACGAAAACTGACGCGCGCCAAGAAAAATAATCGTATTAAGCGGGTTCCGCATATATTAGCCTTAATTTTGAGAGAAAACAATGGATTAGAACGCTGTGTACAAAGTGTTTCTATATAGGAAATGAATATACCGGGACAGAAAATTTCATGTTAGATAACAGGGAATCCTTGCTATTACTGGTCTTTCGTATCAAGTCAATATTTTTACTAGAGAAATTACTATGAATCGGCCGGGTTTAGAAGAAATCTCG